AAAGAATGATAAGAGTAGAATCAAGGAAAGGGAGAAGATCAAGAGATAGACGGAGGGAAGATAAAGCAGGCCCAAGGAAAAAGACATCCTAAGAAGCAGAGGGAAGGAGGGAAGAGGTATACAATTGCTGTGCGCTGACAGAGTGCCCGGCAGAAGCAACGCCAGGTCACTGAGTCGCATTAGTATTAAACACATACAATTATCCGGACGCTCTTCATGCAAAATGGACAAACTTCTAAACAATTTTTGCCTTGGCTTCCTAAACTCTTCAATATTAAAGGCACACATTGGAGGTCCCCATGCAGACATCTCTTGACCTGGGGAGCTAAAACTAAAACACTTAGAAAGCAGTATTTCCAAGGCTGCCATACCTTTATCAACTCTAGCCAAAAGGCAAGGAGTCTGCATCTGTCTATAACTGTGTATCACCCATCAACCTGTCTTCCTTTATCAACTCTAGTCAAAAGGCAAGGAGTCTGCACCTATCTGTAACTGTGCAACACCCATCGACCTGTCTTTCTATCCATCTCTACCAACTTTGAGTGAGTTAGCTGACATTCCAACTGTATAATCATTTTATTCAAAGTCAGACTGGTTTCTGGACAGCAGTGCCATAAGACAAACACCGAAGCTCTTAGATCAGGTGGGCATGACCTGACTGAACGCTTAAGACTGCATGGGAGCACATGACTCTGGGTGGCTTTGCAACATGGCATTTCACTCGAACTATGCGTGGACCCTGTTCTTAGAGCTGCAGCAGCCTGCCTGATTCGCGTTCTCTTTCACTCTGAGAACACTGGCCAGCCTGGAGGATGAAGTGGGGAGTCATGCTCTTTCCAAGAAAGAGCAAATCTGTCACCAAAAAGCCAGGCTGCTTCAAGGTGAGGTCTCAGCTAAGCAGACATGTGTGTGGTCAGGACAGTGTTGGGTTTGAGGCATTATATGATATGCAATGACTCAGGCCAGGAAGGGGAAAGTCCCAAGGTTACCTCCCCAAGTCAGTAGCTCAAAGATCAGTAGAAAGACAAAAGCAGCAGGAAGTGCACGTGAAATAAAGAAGTGTCAGTCCAGTGAGTAGTGTGTCCCTAAGATGGTGGAGGCCCAAGAAAGGACCTGGTAGAGAGATTAATAGAAGAATAGAAAACAGAGAAAAATGACATAATAGCAACAGCTGTTCTTGAGAAAGCAAGAGTTAGCTCTGAGGTAGATGAAGGTGAGGAGATAGACAGTCTAACCTGTTAAAAGTCAGGATTCAATTTCCTCTCTACAGAATGAGATCCATAGTGGTTAGAAAAGCTCAGGGGTCTATCTTAGCACATTAAGGAATAATGTAAACCTCTTGAGTTCATTTTCACCATTAGAATAAAGTTTCCATAAGTAATACGTGCCGTGCGTTGCTTTGAAATGAACACACAGAGTCTGTACAAAGAATCTTTATATTTTAGTGTCTAATATGAAAAAAATTGTATTGCTCTGTATCATTCATGCATTCCTAACTGAAATGTATAACCCAAATGTAATTATAAGGGAAACAAAAAGCAAACTCTAAATGAGGAATAGTGCTGTCCTTGTTTGAGGTATTGTGATCAGGATAGACCAGTGTCCTGATAAGGGAAAGGGACATTCCGTACAAAAGAAAACTAAGTTGAGGGAGCTACGGGATGTAAAACCTTTTCCTAGATTCAGCCTAGAGTGGACACCGCTTAGGTCACCTGATAAAAGTGAGAAACTCATGGGAAGTAAGTAAAAGATTTCTTGCCATAATGGAAGAAAATATTCCCACTGGAGTAAGTGAGCACCTATGTCGTTTAGGATAAAGACGTACAACCCACAGAATTTATGAGGGAGGAGCACGAGAGTCTACTTTAGCACTGCAGACAGCCAAACTGATGGTATTTGCAGAAAGTTCCTATGCTCGAAGCACTCCAGGGCAGGTGTGAATTTCTAACCGATCGAATGCAATTTGTAAGAAATGAAGCTGGGCTATTGATGGTAGATTTAGGGGGGAAAATTAACACTAGGGAGCTTAATTCTAAAATGGTCATGAACTTCTCATTAGATCTGTATTTATTTTGTAATAGTTTACTACTGAATGAATAAATATGTAATATATTTATGCACACACATACTTGCATATATACATGCATACCTACATATGAATTTAACAATAATGAAACAGGCTATCACCTTGAGAGTGGGGCAGTCATGAGAAGGCCTCAAGGGAGGGCAGCTGGGAGGGCCTGGAGGGAGGAAAGTGACTTAATTCTATTTCAATTAGCACATTTTTTAAAATAATGAAAAATTAATGAATTAATCAATAGGAAAAGATGAAAAAGAGAAACCCACTCATGGCTAAAAGAGCCAAGGCTGACATGAATTTCTCTCCAGTATAGATCCTCTTAATTGTAAGTCATGTGTGCAGAAGTCAAAGCAAGTCAGAGTGTTCCTTTTCTTTCTTTTTTTTTTTTTTTTGTACTTCCAGCCTGTCATCTTCAATCCCCAGTGTGTCAGATGGGTAGACTTAGTAACAGGTATCTTTATGATGGCGTGTCCTTCGGCTTCTGCAAGTTGAGACTTGATCTAAAAATTTTAGAACTACGGTGCAAGAATTCAGAATAACTGTTGTGCCGTTTATACATTCTTAAATACAAGATTTAGGTCAGACATATGTCCCTTTGTTTCACATAAACTTACACACAGGCTCTAAACGTCACTCTGCACAGTATTTTTAGTGCAACTGCTGACTATAAACCATCCCCTGAGGCCAGGGAGGGAACTTTCTACCTGCAATGTCATGTAAGCACACAAAACTTTGGGATTTAGGAGCCTTTCGGATTTTTTCCTTTCTTGGATTAAGGATTCTCAATACAGAAAACAGAAGCTACTGTTACTTTAGTAACAGCTTCCCTGGTCAAATCAAAGCCATCTTTGGTCTGCAGAAACCTGGCAGTAAACGGCTGTCTTTCCTAGGTGTTCTCCACTTGGGGCTTTCTGAAGGAAGGCAGCGTGCAGAGAGAGCAGAGGCTTCACAGCCCAGCAACAGGAGTTACCTTAAATACACAGAGTACAACCTACTCAAGAGCCTGCTTGCAGCACACAGTCCCCCCAGTGGTCAGGAAGGAGGCATGAGGATTGGAACTCAGGGCTAGCCTCTGGGGGACCATCTCCAGAAAAGGGTGATGCAGGCTGTAATTCTGCAAAAAGTGCAGATGCAGAGAGGAGATGAACAGCTCCCTAGGCTGTGCAGTACAGACGCTGAGATTAAAATGGCACCATCTTTGATCATAAGGTCATCCGAATGTGATCAAATTCATCACATAGATGATCTTGTCACCTTTGGTTTCCCAGTCTCTCTCCCTGGCTTGCTTGTTTGATGTTTGTTCCTTTGTTTGCTTGCTTGTTTTTTAGACTCTTTCTTCAGTTTTCATTCCTAAATTTTCTGTAACTGATACTTTCCAAGGTGCAGGAATAGAATTATTATAAACTCCTTTGTGTGGTGATCTCTGGCCATGCAGAGCTGAGAAAGACTTCAAGCATTAGCAATGTGCATGCTGGTTAGAAAATCATCTGAAGGTCCCCGTACCCACAAAAAGGAACAGGTTTCCTGCTTGATTCCTTGGGGGCAAGGTAGAAGTGTCTGCTGGGAACTATTATTTATGAATACTTGGGGGCATTCAAAGAAGATTGGTAAGAAGTGGTTGTCGGAACTCAGTGTTTGGCTGTTGTTTGCTTTGTTTTGTTTCCAGTCAGTTTTCCTCTTTTCTTTCATAACTGCTCTTTAAAATTCATTTCTCATTAGTGGGAGAAAGTAAAGTGTCTTCAACAAAATACTTTTCAGAGAAAAGTATCGATACCATCTGTTTCCAAAGAAGAAAAAAAAAAAGCAATGCTGCAGCCCATCTATGATTGGCGAGAGGTCTAGTAAGGGAAAAGTCAGTTGAACTTTACAAGCCATGAGACCTTCTTAGTCTTGGGAGAAAAAATGTCATTGTTCCTGAAGCAAGCCAGCTGCCACACAGACTGACAAAACACAATTCTCCCAAAGAAGTCTCTCCAGGGAGGTTTGTGCTTGAAGGTTAACAGTGTCCGCATCTGGACCGTACTCGCGAACTTTGAGAGACAGCGGGTAGAGCTAGAGCTCGAATGTAGGAGAGCAATGGAAAGATCCTGCTGTCTGAGAGACTATCAGCCAGGGAGAGCTGATGATAAAGTCACAGAAGTGATTTCTGAGCAATTATTCATTTATAAAAAGCAAAAAGTGAAACACCAGAGAGCAGACATTTCTTCCTTCAAGGATAAGGCAGTAGGCAGGTACGAAACCTTCGGGGAGAATGCTGGGTGACCTTCAGAGGAGCAGCACCCCGGGTGTCACAAGAAATAAAAACAAACTTGTTCCATGGACAAGTCTTTATCATAAAGAAGGAGTAAGCCACCTTTGGAAATGGGCTACATATCATTCTTGCTTGGAAGTAGGAAAGGAAACCAGCTGTTAGTACGCCTAGCTTCCTCCACTGCTGTCCCTCTTAAACAAAGAAACACACTCCAAGCTGAAAGGGATCAGCACTTTTAAACAAGGATATTGGTTTCAAAAGCAGGCAACAGTCACATATGAAAGCAAGACTTTTTATAAGCTGAAGCAACAGCCCATGGCCATTTCCCCACTAAACAAAGCAGGGTCCTCGGTCGACTTCCACAATCACAAAGAAAGCTAGTTCCACCACATTTCCCAATCTCAGACCTTGCACCGGCTTTGTGGCCCCATTAACTCAGACCTTTGCAGAATATTGTCACTTCCTAGAGGACTTCTAGGACTTCCATACGGTTGCTTCTAGGACTTCCATACGGTTGCTTAGTCCAGTAAAACTCAAAGACATTCATAGCGTCTGAGGCAGTCTAGCTAGTCTAGCTAACCCGTCCCAAGACACCACGCCCACGTGCCTTGGCTTCCCCTACCGTCACCGCCTCTCACTTTTGACAGCTGTTCCTGTTCGCCTTTGCAGGTTTCACAGCGGCAGCCTCCCTTGTGTCGTTGGCGTGGGCCCTAGCCTCCTACCAGAAGGCTCTCCGGGACTCCCGGGATGACAAAAAGCCCATCAGCTACATGGCCGTCATCATCCAGTTCTGCTGGCACTTCTTCACCATCGCAGCCCGGGTCATCACGTTCGCCCTCTTCGCCTCAGTGTTCCAGCTCTACTTTGGCATATTCATCGTTCTCCACTGGTGCATCATGACCTTCTGGATTGTCCACTGTGAGACGGAGTTCTGCATCACCAAATGGGAAGAGATTGTGTTTGACATGGTCGTGGGCATCATCTACATCTTCAGTTGGTTCAATGTCAAGGAAGGCAGGACACGCTGCAGGCTGTTCATTTACTATTTTGTAATCCTTTTGGAAAACACAGCCTTGAGCGCCCTCTGGTACCTCTACAAAGCTCCCCAGATTGCGGATGCCTTTGCCATCCCGGCACTGTGCGTGGTTTTCAGCAGCTTTTTAACAGGCGTTGTTTTTATGCTGATGTACTATGCCTTCTTCCATCCCAATGGGCCCAGATTTGGGCAGTCACCAAGTTGTGCTTGTGACGACCCTGCTACTGCCTTCTCTCTGCCTCCGGAAGTGGCCACAAGCACATTACGGTCCATCTCCAACAACCGCAGTGTTGCTGGTGACCGCGACCAGAAATTTTCAGAGCGGGATGGATGCGTTCCCGTGTTTCAGGTGAGACCAACGGCACCGCCCACCCCGTCATCTCGACCGCCACGGATTGAAGAATCAGTCATTAAAATTGACCTGTTCAGGAACAGGTACCCAGCGTGGGAGAGACACGTGTTGGACCGGAGCCTGAGAAAGGCCATTTTAGCATTTGAATGTTCCCCCTCTCCTCCAAGGCTGCAGTACAAGGACGATGCCCTTATTCAGGAGAGGCTGGAGTATGAAACCACTTTATAAAGCGGAAGAAGCCACAAGGTCCCCATGAAGAGATGACAGCAGGGCTGTGGCAAAAGTGACCCTTCATCAAAGAGTAGGGCAACGAGCTATGTGTTCTTAGTCCAAACATTGTCATGGTATGGTTTGATCTTCCATTAGCTGACTGCCTGTTGCTGGTGTCCCATTCAAGCCAGCAGTGCTGAGAGTCTCTTACTCCACCTAAAGGGGCAATGCCAGCCTAATATGACTGTTGTTACCAAATTCCTCCAGCACAGGCTTGGAGCACATTCACCGGAGGGTACCATTATTATGAAAAATATGTTGCCTCTAATCATTAAGGTATTTTGATGGAGTTTACTGATTTTGCATAAATATGTTCATATGTACACACACACACACCCCTCCACCACCACCACTATGACCACCAGCACCATCAGCGCTCTATCAAGAGTTGAAGTGAAGCTGGAGAAATGGCACAGTAGTTAAGAGCACTGACTGCTCTTCCAAAGGAGCCGGGTTTGGTTCTCAGCACCCACTTGGTGGCTCATAACCGCCTGCAACTCCAGCTCCAGGAGCTCCCATGCCCGTTGTTGGCCTCCTCTGGCACTGCACACACATGGTGAGCCGACATATCTATATGCAGGCAAAATACCCAGACACGTAAAATCAAATTAAAAATCTCAAAAAAGAGCTTAGGTGATCTCCTTGATGCAAAGTTCACAACAGACTCTGGGAAGGAAGCAATAGTGCTTAGAAAGATTTCATAAACCACTTTCTCATTGGAAGCCAGTAGCATATGTGGCAAAACCTGTGCAGGGGGTGGCAAACTCAAGTGTTTACACATATACTAGCATTGATCGAATGGTTCTCTTTCTACACATTTCAGGATTTGTTTCTTACTCTAGGTTTTTCAGTGGAGGGTATCTTTTATGACAGAAATCCTATGCAGCCCGTGTATGGCTTTGAATGAGACCAAGTAGCTCAAATCCATGATGGAAATTAAATTATAGTCGTGATTCAGTATTCAATTGCAAAAATACAGTTTATACACAAAGAGCTGTTGGGGGAGGGGCAGAAGGAGAGTCAGATTCTCAGGTGTGTGCAGTTGGTATCAGAATGCACCCACAGAGCCACAGGACAGGGAGGGCTGTTTCCAGGTACAGGGTGGGCATGGTGAGCTGGCGTGATTCTGGAAACCACACGCCACATCCTCCTAGTGTCAAATTTTGCCCAGTCCTCAGAACTGATACGGAATCCCCCAAAACAGAGAATAGGTGGCACCCCAAAGCAGACAAGAGAAGAACAATCAGGTTGTCCACTCTGTACAGACTTACCCTCTCCCACCCAAGATCAAAGTGATGCGTCTGCTCCAGACTTTGGGAAACCTTTTAGCAAGGGTGGGCACACAGATGCAGTGTGGATGCTATAAGGAACCAGCCTGGACTGCTTGAGGGCGTACCACTCCATCAGCTAAGATGTGTACTCAAATCATCTGTAAAGTCTCGCTCTGACCACAAGCTTCTGAGTTTTAAATACCTCCGTCCAGCAAGTAAACATTCCCGCTTTCTGTTTTCAGTGTCCTTGGTCATGGTGCTTTCGTTGCATTAAAAGTGCCGGTCAAACTTTGATAGTATTTTTTTATAGTTGGTGCAGAGTGGAATAACTCATGGATTATTTCAATATTTTTGTAATAAAACTATAGGGTGTACATATAGGCATTGTTGCTTTTTTTTATAGACTTGGAATTATTTAAAAAATACATTAAATGTCATATTCACTTGGGATGTCAGAATCCAGTCTACAGATCCATCAGCCTGCCTCAGCAGATTGAAAACACGTGGCCCTGGAGAGATCACCTTCCTTTTTGCAATTTGACGGCCCAGGAATCTGACCGGGGTGCTATCAGAGCATCAAGTAGAGGGAAGTGGCCTATTTAGAAAGGGCTTGTGAAGACTGATCAGTGTTTCCCAGGAAATCAAAGATGGAAGTGATTTCTTTCATCCATCCATTAGAACAATCTGACCACAGTGGAAGATGTCTTAAACTTCCTTCCCTGGTTTTATACTAACCCAACTGATATATTAAAGATTAGTCAAGTCATTAAAAATAAAAAAGGAAGAAAGTCAGTTTCATTTAACTATTCACTTAAAATAGTCAAGATCTAGAGCCACCACTCATAATGAATGAGTCATCCATAGACTGTGGTCCCCAAAGTAACATCCACAGGAAGGGACTGAGGGCTCGAGCAATTTTTTTAAGACAGACAATTTTTATCAGACAAATTTCCTAATACGCAATGATTTGACCCTTCAAGCAAGATTTCCATGACAATTCACTAATCTTTTGATGGAATGAAGAAAATTCCCTTGCTGCCAGTAAAGCTTCAAGGAGGACCCTCATCTTCTAGGCAAATGGTGGACATATCCCGTTCCAATGTAGAAGGAAATCACGCTTATTTGGGCAGTACTCCGCTGGTGTGCAGAACCATGCGCTATCAACTCCATTTGTTCCAAGACGACTTTTCACTTTTTTGATGAGCTTTGAAGTCTGTCTTTCCCGAGGGATCTACAGCTCTGAGTCTGTGAATGAACAACCATTAACGTCACAATAGTGTCCAGCCAAACAAGCCAATGGGAGCACCCACTCTTGGATCACGTAAGTTCTATGTTCCTTCTCAACTTGATCTCACATGCAGCATGCTAAGGGTTAAAAGAGCTGTGGTATAAACAGAAGAAAATGTGCTGGACTTTGTCTCAGTGGCAATATAGGTAGCTAGACAGATGTAAAAGGCTTGAATTTCCAGTCATTCCCCAAATACTGTAAATATTCGTGGGTCTGACTTGTGGGAGGATCATGATGTTTCAGTGAATGATGGAGTCTTGATCAGGAAACAAGTTATCTGCCAGGCTACAGTTATGGCTCTCCAATGTAAGAATGCAAGCAACCGTCATATCACTCCAGCAGGACTTAATCTTGTTCTGCCGGTTCAGAAAGGAGACACTGAGCTCAGACTGCTGTAGAACATAAACTCAGGCTCCAGAGTTAGGAGGCGGGATGCAGTGAGGCAGCATCAGTTCACAAATGAGCAGTTTTAATTCTTCCTAAAATTGTATTCTCCTCTGACACGAAGTTCTGCACAAAGTAGCTGGAAAATAACCAAAAAAGGGTGAGCAATAGCTAGCTTCCCAATGGAAATGAGGGACTCTGTCTCAGGCTGATAATACTACCTCGGCCAGAATCTACTTCGATTCACTTAAAAGGATAATCTTGCTATCTCATGGCAGTCATTGTTTGCATGGGATGGTGATGTTTTCTAAAGAGAAAAAAAAATTCTCTCTAACTAGCGTTTCTGAATTAATCCGTACTAAAAGAACACACAGATATACATCTTAACCATGCTGAGAGTTCATTCATGTGGAAGAAAAGCAGTTTCCATGCCTCTCTGCTTCCCAAGAACAATGTCCTGTGCATTCCCTAGATACTTACATCATCTTGCTTCCCTGTGTCTTGTCCAGTCCAGCAACTACCTTTTCAGACCCTCTGGGACAGTTCATCTGTGATAAATCCCATTGACACAGCAAATGAAATAAATTCCCTTACTCAGCGCTTAAGATTCTGTAACTCAAGTGTCAGCAACAGGCAAGTTACACACATAATTGGAAGATAACTGAACTCTGAGGATAAATGAAAAACAGTGAATCTCTAGGCACACAGTTTATTTTCTGCATAAGTGAATATGGGCTAACCATGTGGTTTAGCAGGCCAAGGTGCCACTAATCCTGATAGTATGGGTTTAGTCCCCCACAACCCCCATGGTAGAAGGGAGAGCTAACTGTCAAGTTGCCTTCCACACACACGTCATTGCATGTGATTGCCCACACACATATACATTAAGTAGATAGGTATATAGACAGACAGACAGACAGACAGACAGATAGACAGGGAGATAGATAGATAGATAGATAGATAGATAGATAGATAGATAGATAGATAGATAGATAGATAGATAGATAGATAGATAGATTATAGAAGGAGCTGCAGGCTGGCTAGCTTTACCAGAAATAATTACACAGAAACTGTATTCATTTAAACACTGTCTGGCCCGTTATATCTAGCCTCTTCTTGGCTAACTCTTACATATTGATTTAACCCATTTCTAATAATCTGTGTATCACCACGGGGTCGTGGCTTACTGGGAAGATTCTAACCCACATCCATCTCGGGCCGGAGCTTCATGGCATCTGCCTGACTCTGCTTTCTTTCTCCCAGCATTCTGTTCAATCTACTCCACCTATCTAAATTCTGCCCTATCAAAAAGCCAAGGCAGTTTCTTTATTAACCAATGAAAGTAACACATAGACCCTCCTACACCAATAGATAGATAGATGATTGATAGATAGATAGATAGATGATAGATAGATAGATAGATAGATAGATAGATAGATGATAGATACATAGATACATAGATACATAGATACATAGATAGATAGATAGATAGATAGATAGATAGATAGATAGATAGATAGATTATAGATTTTTTTGAGTTTTGTACCTATAAGATGATTCAGTAATAAAACTTGTCCATGCACAGTGGTGTAAAACTGACCTGAGTTTGAACCCTAAAACCCATGTAAAGTTGAAAGAAGAGAAGTAACTCTACAAAGCTGTCCTTTGACCTCCACATACACACCATAGCACACATGTCCTTCCACACACACGTGATAGATACACAGACACAGACAGAAAGACAGACAGACACTCATATCATATTAGTATACACACACAAATACACACACATACACACAAACACCCACAAATTTAGAAATTCATGGAGTAGCCTAAATCTCCATGACTCTTTGAAATCCCTAATTGCTAACATGTAGATGACAAGAATAAAGTACATTCTGTTCTTCAATGCCTAGGAAATGGTATGTTATTGACATGTAACCTTTTAGACAAGAATCTCCTATGCATTCCTTTTTTAAAAATCAACTGTCCTTACAGTCCAGGCCTATAAGACATGCAATTCTTGACTCTTAGCTTGGGTGAACTTTACCCTCCTTAAGCTTCTCATCATTTAAGTGGCTGGACTGAGACCGTCTTTGTCACTCCAAAGTTCCTGGAACCCCTTGGCCTAAGCCAAGGAAAACCCGTGCGTTCACACACAGTTGAGCATGGCTGTGCAGTCACTTTCAAATGCAGCTGATGCTACTGGGGGGGAGGCAAGTTTTGACACAATGTTTAGACAAGACTCCAGAGAATTTGTTTCTAATGAACCACTTTCCAGACTAAATATGTGCTCCCTTGCATTCCCCACATATCTTTGCCATTAGCCATGACTGTTTCTATATAAAGCTTGGATTAGATGCCTGCATTTTTAGGTTTTCAAGGAGAATTAAAATAGTTCCGACTGTCTATCAGAATCCGACTCTGGGTGCATGGGGGAACCAGAAGCTGACACACAGCAGGACTGAGGTGGACCTTGTTATCAATTTAGTGATGGACCCAAATCATTTCCCATTCTTTTGACTAGTAATCCAGTGTCACTTTTATAAACAAAGTTGTCACATCTGCCAGCTTTGACTCATGGCAGCCCTCTGTTACCCAACATTTGATGCTTCTATGTGACTAGGAATTGGTGGTTTCACTTTAGTTCCCATTGCTGAGTCTCTTTCCCCAACCTGTATATCCAAACAGGAGATGACCTAAACACTAGATGACACTCTTTCTTCTCTCTCAGGCACCAATATTAGCATCAGGTAATGACAGAGCTCTCTGCCAACAGCTCTTGTCCAGTTGCTATTCTGAAAATAGGCCCACTGCAAGATTCTGGATTCCTTCTTATGACGGACAGCCTCAACGGGATCATTACCCATTTGAAAGGAAAACTGCTGCATGTGGGTGGAATTGGATAAAAACATAATGAGTCATTTAATTTTGCTAATTGTAGCAATTAGGCTACTCACAAGCAGCTCCCACTGCAGAGAGCCAAATGGAAGAAATGGCAAGCAGCCATGTGCCCACAGAAATGAGGGGCTCAGAAACTCTCCGGAGGGTGGTCAAGGCATTCAGCAACCTCACCCTCTACCTGAAATAGTCCCTAGATTCCACGAGAAAGCAATAATTAGACTCTTGTTTATTGCATGCAGTAACCCTGCCCAGAAATGCAAAACTCACAAAACTGGATGACCCAGGCTTTGCGGTTCAAGGATGCTTGCGCTCTCCGACTTGTCTGATCAATTGGTTAAAAGGTCTGTGCATGTTATACCGATAAACACAGGCACAGAAACAAGCTAAGTTAATGCTGCTTTGACTAGTTTGTTCGCCTGTAGCTTTCCTTGCTGGTTGATTTCCATATCAGATGAGAGTATTATTTTGAAGAATTTACTGTATGCTGGTGTGTGCTGACAACCCTTATCTCTGGGTCTCACTTACACTTCACAACCACTGGTGACTGATAGCATTTTTGCATGACACAGCTTCAGCCCAGAGACAGTAGGTGGCTTGCCAAAGTCACCACAACTAGGCTAGGGAAACCTAGAAATAAAAGTTAGGCCCAACTTCTACCAACTAAAAGATTTTTAAGAATTGTGGCAACCTTACCAAGCCTACTTTTGATTCAGTGAGTCAACCAGAAAAACAGAAGCATCTTCCAATTTTTTTGAGGAACATTTCATAAAACTTAAGGGAGTCTACCAAAATGCCAACCTCAAAGAACTACCGATGGTAAGAAATGGAAGTCTGTATCACGTGAACCTGAATACTACTTCAACTCTGACTCGTTATGTGTAGGTCAGTGTTGTTTCTCCACTTAGGCAGTCGTCCCCAGTCCATGATCCCGATCTGCACTAAATTAATTGGAAATATAAAGTAACCTGGGACTTCTTTCCTCAAGTCTATGTATGTCTCACATCATTACCCAGATAGGCAGACTGAAAAATAAGTTATCAATAAGTTTCACTAAGTTATACTTAGTGAAAGAGAGAGACTCTGAGATGACATCATTTTCAGGCAACGAAGTAATTTATTCCCATTGCTTTATTTTTGTATTAAATTTTGTTTACTATCTTATATGTGACAAGAGTTTAAGAGGATTTTTAAAAAGCCATTAGCACTAATCTAGAAGCATCATCTTAGACTGACAAATTAGATTCAAAAAAAATACCAGTATTTATCAAAACATTTGCTGAATTCTAAAATATTTGGCATGTTCTTCCCCCGCCACCTCAGTTTAGAGGCAGTGAGCTAGAAGGGAGAGGGCTAATCTGCCCATCGACGCCTGTACATCAGAACATGCATTACACAGGAACTGTGTGTGTAGCTTGATCAGATGCTGAAAAAGTAGCAGATAATAAGCCAAACCATTTCCCAATACACTGTTGATTTTCCAAATTCTCCCAAGGTTCGGTTTCAATGGCAAGTCCAAAGCAACATCTGTCCTCCTGCTTTAAGTTAAGCAGGGTCTCGGAGAAATTGTTAAGTCAGAGCTCAGTAATTTCAATAGCATTTTAAAGGAAATCCCCATTGTTTTACAGATCAAACAGCTGGGGCCAGGAAGGCTTTGCAATCAGGGTCACATAGAAGACCCTTATTGATTCCCTTGGTCGTTTACTCAGCAAGACTGACCCTTGTGACCACAGCCCCTAGACGGCAAACAGGCACAAGGCTGCATTTGTCCTAGCAACTGACAGTAGGTTTTTAGCTGCCCCTCTGGTTCCCAGGCCTCCTCCCCTACCTGTCTCTGCTCTCGCACACTGATGTTGCCCTTCTCACCGTCTATACTTAACTCTACAGTGAACAGTAAAGAAATAGGAACTTTTCTAGACTTTTCCTCTAACTACCAATAAGCACTTGGCACACAGTGACAGACATGTGGCAGCTACATAACTGTGAGCCCCGCATCGGTGCTAGAAGGGGGAGAAGGGACCAGTGATGCTACATCCTGGCCATAGAGCTTCAAGCCACCATCATTACATTCAACCCCAGGTCACCACGTTTTAGACACTTAGACACACAATAGAAGCGTAGAGTGGTGGATGCGATGCTTGCGGAACAAAAACCTCATTTAACATCAAATTACTTAATTAAAATAATAAGCAAATACTAGCAACGTGGTCCAACACAAAATTTTCTTTTGTACTAGTACTGAAACTTGCCACCTACTCTGTTATTAGAGTTTCGGGAAACGTGAGGTCTTGTGTTTTTATTATACTTCGATCTACCAAATTCAACCGGTTTGCCCTTTCCTTTCGCTACTGCTTAATTTGCATTAAAATGGAATTAATCACATTCTTACTTCAAGTGTTGCAAATGGGGACAAATGGAGATGTTGGGTTTAAGCTAATTTAGCTACTGTAGTGGCATTCTGCTATGGAGTTGTATCCAATCAACACTTAATTATTTCAAATTAGTTCATTATCAGTAAGTTCTAAGATACCCCTGAGTGTGTGGAAAATATATTTTGAGCTTCCATCACTGAAAGAAATTCCTGTTTTTATCCCAAACTAGCGAAGTGTCCTAACGTACACTCGCACCGCAACCCATTGTGGCTGGAAAGTCGGCACTTGATTTCAGTGTGTTGAGTACCATGAAGTTCACACAGCGATTAAACGTTGACCTGTGGTTTTCTGTGGAGCCCCCATGATTATATTTTTTATTCTGCTCAAACACAGGAAAAATGGGGCACCGCCCTGTAACCAGAGGACACCAGTCAACTGGTGAAAGAATTGGAACTTCCTCTCACAACACTGCCGTACTCAGCTTCCCTTGTGAACCCTTCGAAAGTGCTGTGCATAATAAGGGCTCGGTCTCCAAAGTGGGTTTCAAAGGCTTGAGGGGAAACATTTTCCTTGGTCAGAATTAGAATGAAGGAGCTCTGTGAAGGGAAGTAAGGAGTGGAAGGAACCAGTACCTGCAGACACAGCCAAAGCTGCCACTCGGCTCAGACTATTCATGCTTGGGTCTCCTTCTTTTTTTTTTTATTTTTACAGAAACACCTTGGAACTTGTCAAGTTTTACTGGAGATGAATTGCAGTTCATTAATCCAACAGACACTTAAACCTTGGAAATTCTTGACTTGTAATATTGTAATCAAGCTACTAGGAGAGAACACAAATCAGCAGACGGCAAAGGCGCACTTGCTCAGTGCTGTGCCCTGACGTGTCCACGCCTGAAGAGAGGGACCTCTGAGAAGCAGAGCTGAGAAAATCGTGCTACCTGGTCTCTCACCACAAATACTGTCTGTGTCCGTGGTATCCATCCTCTTTCTTTACCTTTTCTAGTAAGAACTGCTTTTGAAAAATAAGCCAAGGAATTCCTGGGGGCTTGGATAGCTCAGAGAGATGGGTATGGGTCAAAGGGACTTGCTTCAAGGGGATGGAAACCCACTTGGAAATGGAAAGAGTCTGTCATCTTTTAATAACTGATCTTGAGTACCATCGCCATTTTTGATTTGTTCCGTGTCAGCATGATAATAACCAATGTGTAAAGCTTTCATTGACGATTCAGTGTCAGAGGTGAAATTTGCAGTTTGAACTTAAAGGGGTAGTTACAGAGTAATTTGATGCCTGCCTTCCTAAGTGGTAACATTACCAGTTCCAAGCCGGTATCCATTTTAACAAGGAATCAACTAGCCTATGGCTTCTCAGATCACATAAAATTTCAATTATGACCTGAAAGGTGACCAACCAAATGGCGTTAGTGCCTACATTTTCATTTACAAGAAGACAGGTGGACGGAGAATTTACAACCGTGATTTCTTTCATTTCTCTTTTCCAAATAAAGGTGAAAATGAAGTTGTCAGAGTTCAGTTATAGAGTATGCGAGAGTGTGACGTGCGTGCGGCCTTGTTAAACTTTCCTTATACTCTTTTGGCTTCGGTTTTAGAAGGTAGGTCTAGATAAAAGAGTGAAAGTCGTCAAGTGTGTCCATTAAGCGCTTTGGAAGAAGAAGATGGAGTGTGGATCGCTGTGTCCTGGTGGCTCTAGCAGGATGTTCCCAGAGCTTCTGAGAGCACTCCTAGGAATCCACGCTGGTACCCAGGCAAGTTTTGTTGAGAGTGATCTCTGGATGTAACCATTAAAATTGAATGGTAGAAAGGTTGCATTCACCGGCCAGACAACCAGAACTAACATGTTGAAAAATGCTGGTTTTCTAAACCTACACCCTCCTGTGAAATGTACCGTGAGCTGGTTAACTGTGGGGACACAGGAACAATAACAGTCCTCCCTAATAAGGCTCAGGAGTATGTATGGCCATAATAGTGTTGGGTACCAGGATAGAAGATTTCCAACAAGGTACAGAGCCAAAAGAACCTGTCCATCTCATGTTAGGAACACTTAAGTATTTTCACAAAGTAGCCAGGTAAACTTAATTTCTGCTATTCCATAATTATGGCAGTGCACATGTCCCCTTATAAAGGACAAGACCTGGCTAATGAGGGAAGATGGAGGTCATACAGGAAGCTCCATTTCAAGACTGGCTCTCTCTAAGAAAACCTTAGCTCTGGTGGTTTTCCTTGATTAGTGATCCTGTAATGCTCCGTACATCAAGAGCTTCTGGTGAATTATAAAACAAGAGATTATAAATCGCTCTTACTTATTACACATAAAGTATTTAGTTATCCCTCTGTTAATAACAATGAGATTCAGGGTTCCCTTGGCCTTCCTCATCTTCCTATTGTGAGTCGGTCACAACAGGTCTGTGTTCAAATGCACACAATCCAGCTCAGCCAGCATCATCCTTCTCGCAACACAGTTTGGACCTTAATTCCATCAGTCCGTCACCTGATCTGTGCACCTATTCCGAGACTCCTAAGTCTGTGCAAGTAATTTTCAGAACAACAGAAGAGAATAAAAGGACAGTTATGCAATTTTCCCACCGAGACAAAAAATACACTAGACTGTTGATCACCCCCAAAGTTCTGACTTTTCCTCATGACTGGGTTCTTTGAATTTTCCAGATGATTACTGAGCAATTTTCACCAAAACCAAAGTAGACACTGTAGCGGTCTTTAAAAGTCAAGACTGTCCACCAGAATGCAAATACCCCTAGGAGTAATCAAGAAGTTGGTGGCTCAAGCGACACCTGTGGTTTTATTGTAGCATGCATCTGGAAACTCTGCAAGAGTCCAGGTGTTTGAAGTCTACGGTTTCCCATCCTGTTGTCTGGCGTGCGCACAGACAAGCAGCTCAGGTGTGGCTGGTGGAACTTAACTTTCTTGCGTAGGAATCTTTCGTTGGTGACATTCTGATGCTAACGATTCTCTTTGCTGTGCAAAGAGAAATAAATCGTGCAGAGCAATGGTGGTCTACTTTTATTTTCCTTCTGAAGACGCGTGGGTGGAAGAGGTTGGGTGGCTGGGTGTCGGGTGTTCTAAACACAACTGCTCTTGGAGGCCTTGCGGCGGCTTTCCTAGACAAGGAAACTTCTTTTAGCCTCTGCTAGAATTATGTTTTGTTATTTTATCGCTATTCTGCTGTTTGTAACTCTTATACATTTACAAGATCTACCAAACAGAATGGTTTAAGGAAAATACAATCTTTAACTTCCTATTGTTCAAATAGAAATTCTCATTTTAAGTGTCACTTGTAGTATCTTCAAGATAAAATTGTTTAAATTGTTTGATAGAATTACTTCATGGTGAATGTTATGACTAGAGTTGTAGGAGAAAGGTTTTTTTTTTCCCCAAATCAAACAAGTTGTCTAACTTTGGGATTCGGCGTGCTGATGACATTCCAGTTCACAAGGGCTCGCTGCTTACTGTGAATATTGTAATGTGAGGGTTCCCCTAGTTAATCCCAGCCACCTTTCTCAGGGAGCAGGAAACAGACATGCTGACCGCGAAGGAACGCTGCCTTCCAGAAGGAGAGCTGCAGGCCTTAACACTGACCCAGGTGTGTTGACTCCTGGTAACCTTGGGGAGTTGATCCCGCTCCTTCTGAGCTGCTGGATGGTGAGGATGTGAATGCCCTCAAATCGAGTGCTTGCCTCCCTGTCTGACCTGAAGTGTGGCAGCAAAACACACACCCTGCCCGACCTATTTCCCTTTAAGAGCTCGTCAGTGGCACAGTGTACTCTGAGGCCCTTGTTGTTAGGTGGACAAAGATCTTGAAGAGGAATTTGGCTATGAAAACATCTTGAAAGATTTCCAAAGCCAGGGCAAAGGTTCCCAAGGACCTAGGTAGGGTTTTAATTGTGTGAAATCCCTACGTTCAGAGTCAAGGAAAACATCAGGAACAGATGACGAAATGCCTTCTCGAGTCTCTCCTTCCCTAGATGTAGCTTCCTGAACACCTAAACCTCACCACTAAGCCATGGTTGTCCACCGCTACTATGTTAACTATTTTGTACCCTACCCTGAACACAGCTGTGGCCACAGCTGAGGTGCCCACGACTCCCCAAACACTGCTTACGTGCACCCTGAAGGTTTTGGCTTTCCTTCTTCTCTTGGGATTTTACGTCATCAGTCTCTGCACCTGTGTGTTACAGGGATTTACAACAACAACAACAACAAAATGAGCAACTAATTGGAAGTCGCACACAGAAAAGCTGTTTCCTTCATGATCTGCGATTATGAGAAGATTGGTGTGAAATGTATAGATTAGTAGAAAAGCAGAAATCCCTGTGTTGAATATTATGACTGTTTTACACATGTTTAAAGATATTATATGAAACCATATCTTTTTACACTATGGCGTGCATTCCATTCTGGGTCCAGGCATGAGGGCTTGTGGCAGAGACAGCAGTAAAGAAACCAGGAATCTGTCCACGCCTGGGTACGAACCCCTACTCTAGTTCTTTACCTCAACACTTACTTTGGCCTCATTGATCCCATATAAAAGAGTGAGGATATTTGTTTACCTACCTCATAAGGCATTGTAAAGAATGTGAGACCTGGCAAAGACTTGGGTTAGAGAGTACCACGCCTCTCGCTAAGTAGCAGGAGCGCGGAGAAGCGTGTGCACCACAGAGCTAAGAAGGGTGGGTACCGCAATTGTCTGAGAAATAGCTGCTGTTCCAGTTAACACAAGAACCTTTTCCCTTAGAGGTCTAGGTAGAAATTATAAGCCTTTAATGAGAACAAGCAGCTCTCATATAGACCTGGAGTGTCTCCAGGTAGATAGACCTCTTTCTTCCTAACCACATCGAATTGTACTAAGTGTTCGTAAATACATCTAGAAAACCTGGCCCTTTCTGTTACCTCAAGAGTTGCATGGCTGCCCCCATTTTTTGGAACCAGGTACAGTCTAACACAGTACTGGTGAGGCCAACTGAAATTCTAGAACCGAGTCCTGGATGGCTATACTATTAAGATTTGATTTGGAATGATTTAACTGGGTTTGTGTTTCGTTCCTAACACAACACCTTGGCCGCAGAAGAACGTGGAGCCCCCCCTCTTGTTTAGAACTCTTGAGCTGATATGGCTTCACGGTAGAAATGTATTTCAAACATTTCAGAGAAGTGTTTGTACAATAGCTTCAGCAATATATTGAAATGAATGGACATGCATAAACGCAATACACAGAAGTGAGTTCTAGAAAGATTTAAAAGGGCAGGAAGACGTAGGAAAAACAGCCCCAGTGAAATCCTGTACACCTCTACCAAAACAATGTGCCCCCTTGCTTTAATGACTAAACTTAACCAGAACTAAATGTATATAATATGAGTTGGAGCTATAAACATTTGCAAGTTTTGAGTCATAGGGGCAATACTGTGAAGTAAGAATATACCCATGGAACTATGCTAGAAATAGGGGTAATATTTTAAGGATGTGGCTCCTTTTGGTACCCTTGTTTAACAATTATACTCATCTACAAAATAAATTTTATAGTCTTAAAAATTGAAATAGTTTCCAAATTTTTCCTTGAGGAGTGAATTCAAAATCATATTGCACTTGAATTACATACTATGTTGACATCCGATATAATCTCTTCTAGACTCTAAAATTTATTTTCCATTGGACTTAACCAAAGATTTAAATTTTCAAATTGGTTCAACATTTCTAATGCATGACATTAGGCTTTCTGAAGCATGATTATATCATAGAAAATTGTGTGACACCTTCAAACTATCTGCACTGCCAGAATAAACTGTTAGCACAGACTGGTCATGTAAGTACCAGGCATGAGTCAAAAGTAATTTGGATATTCCTCAATTTCTATCCCCCTCCGATATCGATATTTTTCTACCCAAAATGCAAAAGTGTATCCTTTCTATCATGAAAACAAAGATCAGTTTTTATTCAGTTTTATACAGAAACCTGAAGTCAACTATTCAGTTGAATTTCAGGTGGGTTTTTCTGGGGTTAGCAGGAGGCAGTGGAGAGAACATGCGACGGAGAGGTTTTATCACAAAGTGCAACATGGAACCTAAGCATGCCAGGGCTGGACAGCTCTGGGAAGCAATGGCTTAGGGTTTTCACCAGCAGAGAAAAGCACAGTGCCAACAACGCGTCCTTTAGCACAGATGCATGTGATTACTCAGTCCAGGCCCATCATTCGGCAAGCGCCACATGTCTGATTGTTTGTAAGTACAACTGCCAAGTTCTATGGCTGCATCTGGCTAACATGCTTTTCAATGAACGAGTGATAAACCTGGACACACAGAGATAAATTCTCGTCTGCTTATAAGAAAAATCTCCCAGTTTATTTATATCAACTATATCACTACTATATTACCTTCACAAAGCTTTCTCATCCACTCTTTGGTCAACTGTTTATTTAAGCCTCACTTTCTCTCATCAGTGGGGCAAAATGGAAGAGGACATGGTTGACCTGAATGGGAATCTTGCTTCTGATAAATGAAAGAAAGAAAGAAAAAAAGAAAGAAGAAAGGATGGAAGGAAGGGAGGAAGGAAGGAAGGAAGGAAGGAAGAGAAATCCTGCTTTTCTTCTCCGTAGCCAGATAGCTCAGTAGCCTCAGAAGGACCCAGTGATGGATGGGAATACGGCTTCCTCTTCTCAGAAGGAAGAGATTCAATAGGAAACCAAGATGCCTGTCCTCTTTGAAGCCAAGCAGTACCCTGAATTTAGAGCTAACATGAGAGAGTACTATCCCTCCTTTTGGTTACCACTCTCCCTCTCTCATTCTTTTGCAGTTAGGGTTGAAATTTCCAGTAATGATAAACAATGTTACTTTGTATAATGACTTCATTGTACGTATTGTGAGAGAGTTAGCTACACATGAGAAGACTGGGAAGCTTGCTTCCTCTGTATCTGCATCCAAGCAAGGGCTTGGGAAGGCAGGAGTCACGCTGATGGTCTGGCTGAACCAAGGGTATCCATGAGGACAACCGCTTTGCTGTGTATGAAGCCAAGGTGAACCTGCTTCCAAATGGCAAGGGTTTGGACTGCCGACATAGGCTCTTCATTCGCTCATGGTTTTGTCATGTAAGTTTCACATTTAACTACCTCAGCTACTGACGTTTGGTTTAGAAACACCGTTCACTTCACAACTATTAAATTATTTCATTGAAAATATCAAAATGTTATTTGGTGTGAAACAATTTTCAGAAGTTTTAAAAAGGTATAAGCAACTCGACGTCTGTCAGTTCTACTGTTTCTGGTTTCTTTCTAAGCATAGTTTGGAATTAAAAATAAAAGAAAATTATAAAAGTTTCCATTTCCAAAAAAAAAAAGAAAATATAGTAGGGGTCAAAGACATGGATCAGTGGGTAGGGTCCTTTTCCATAAGCCTGAGTACCTAAATTCAATCCTTGCATAAAAATAAAAAAGGATAAAATTAAAAAAAAAATAAAAAAATAAAAGAAAAAACACTTCCACCCAGCATAAAGAGAGGTTGTATATGTTTACTTAATTTGCCTTAAATATGTTGTGGGTTTTTTCCTCTGTCCATTTATTTTTTCTAAATTTAT